CACAAAAAAACTGCAGAGGGTGTACACCTGGTCCTCCGCCGAAGAGAAAGGAACCTGGTCCTGATCCCTCAGGCTGCAAGACGCCTCATGGGGACTTGGGTACTCATGGTCCTACCAGCCAAAACCGGGCAGAACCCGCACCCCAAAAAAGTACACATGGTGGGCAGCACAGTGGCTAAATGGTTAGCACTTGCACCTGGCAGTACTAGGGTTGTCGGTTTGATCCCAACCACGGCACCACCTGCCTGGAGTTTGGTTGTTCTCCCTGTGACTGCATGGGTTTCTTCCCACTCCAAAGACATGCTGATAGGTTAATTGGCTCCTGTCTAAATTGTCCCTATGTATGAATTTGAGTTAGGGACCTTAGATTGTACACCCCTTGAGGGTTAGGGGACTGATGTGAATGTACTATATATGTAAAGTGCTACTTAAATTGACGGCACTATAGAAGTACCTGTAATAATAACAACATGGTCCTCCTCCAAAGAGAAAGGACCCTGGCCATGATCCTCTGACTGGAACTGTGGTGTTTGTGGTCCATCCAACCAAAACCAAGTGGATCCCTTTCTTCGGGAGGCCTGCCAAAGCAAGGCCTACTGAAGTATTAGGTGGGTCTCCCTTGGTGGGAACAGGGGACCTCAATCAAAAGTCCACATGTCCTCCCCCCACCACAAGACTTTGAGGGCAAGCCTGAGGACCTACATCCCACTAGTCGGGAGTGAGTAGGTGCCAGTGCAGTGTACGTGCAAAAGAACAACACACGGCAAACAAAATAAAAAAGGGGTAAAGCTCTTCAGTGCCAAAAGTACAATACAAAAATTCCTCAGGCCCAGGAGGCAGGTGAGAAAAAAGCTCGCAATGAGTGATGTGACAATGGCACTCCTGGACTACCACTCCAGGGACACAAGCACCGTGGGCTTCTCTCAGCCTCGGCTCCTGGCCAGACCAGTGCAAACACCAGGCATTAAAACTCAGGGAGAGCCTTGCCCTCAACCATGGACAAGCCTGGTCCACCAAACCAGACTCAATCTGGGCGGAAAAGGACCTCATACCATTTCCACCTCATTACATCAGGCGAATACTGGCCATAGGAGGCACTCCATTCTCCCTTCCGGAATGTGAAAAGAACAGATACTACACTTGATGTTCGTCAAAAGACCGAGAAGCCAGTCAACGCCAATACGAGGTGGATTAGGAGTGCAGGTCACCTTTGCAAGAGGTTTGTATGCCACCAAAAAATAGGCAATGAGGAAAATCGTTTGCTAAGGTGCGAATTACCAAGATGAGCACCAAAGAGGATCGTTGCGAAACGCCAAAAAAAAAGTCCCGACTCCAACAACCGGGTCAAATCTGCATCTCTGTGACCCCTTGAAAGGGCCGCCCCTAGATCCAATGGGGACACCTCCTCTGGTGAGTACCTCCTAAGAGGAGTTTGGTCTTCTTAAGCGTCAAGTACAACAGTTTAAAAAAATCGGCAATGAGGAAAATCGGTTGCTAAGGTGCTGATTACCAAGATGGACGCCAAAGAGGATAGTTGCTAAACGCCCCCCAAAAATGTCCCGACTCCAACAACCGGGTCAAATCCACGTCTCTGTGACCCCTTGAAAGGCCCCCATTAGATCCAGTAGGGACACCTCCTCTGGTGAGTACCTCCCAAGAGGAGTTTGGTCTTCTTAAAGTACAGTTGAATTATTTTGTCCGACAAGTGATGCTTAGAGCTGATCGCCTCATTTGTACAAAGCCAGGTTCCCTTTAAGGCGGTGCAGCTAAGGACACAGGAGCTAGCAATCGCTTTGGTGAGTTTGCTTACAGCTGGCAGTCCCGGGCTGCGGGATGACGTGCTCGGCGACTTTGGCTGGGACATCTCTGTATAAACACGGCGCTGCGCTCACACCGAGCAGCTGGAAACTTGGAGAGCCGCGAAGCAGATCCGCCTTGGTTTTCTGGCGTTGCGCCACTGGGCGCATTACTGGAAATTGTCCTTTTTTTTTTTTTTTTTGTTCAATATTTGTGCTAAAAATATCAGGAATGCACTTTAGATCTCCTGTGCCGGGATTTGTACATAAACTCCGGCATCTGTTGTGAATGTGCGTACGGTTCAGCCGCATTGTGTCTAATCCAGGCAGCCCATGGGAAATAATCTGGGATTAAACGCAACCTGTATATAGCTCTGCTTCCCTCCCGTATATAGCTCTGCTTCCCTCCCGTATATAGCCCTCTGCTGCCCTCCCGTATATAGCTCTGCTTCCCTCCTGTATATAGCTCTGCTTCCTGCTCCCGTATATAGCTCTGCTTCCCTCCCGTATATAGCTCTGCTGCCCTCCCGTATATAGCTCTGCTTCCCTCACGTATATAGCTCTGCTGCCCTCCCGTATATAGCTCTGCAGCCTCCCCCGTATATAGCTCTGCTGCTCCTCCCTCCCGTATATAGCTCTGCTGCCCTCCCGTATATAGCTCTGCTGCCCTCCCGTATATAGCTCTGCTTCCCTCCCGTATATAGCTCTGCTTCCCTCCCGTATATAGCTCTGCTGCCCTGCCCCCGTATATAGCTCTGCTTCCCTCCCGTATATAGCTCTGCTGCCCCCCCCGTATATAGCTCTGCTTCCCTCCCGTATATAGCTCTGCTGCCCTCCCGTATATAGCTCTGCTTCCCTCCCGTATATAGCTCTGCTTCCCTCCCGTATATAGCTCTGCTGCCCCCCCCCTGCTGCCCCTCCCGTATATATAGCTCTGCTGCCCCTCCCGTATATAGCTCTGCTTCCCTCCCGTATATAGCTCTGCTGCCCTCCCGTATATAGCTCTGCTGCCCTCCCGTATATAGCTCTGCTTCCCTCCCGTATATAGCTCTGCAGCCCTCCCGTATATAGCTCTGCTTCCCTCCCGTATATAGCTCTGCTGCCCCCCCGTATATAGCTCTGCTTCCCTCCCGTATATAGCTCTGCTGCCCCCCCCCCGTATATAGCTCTGCTTCCCTCCCGTATATAGCTCTGCTGCCCTCCCGTATATAGCTCTGCTTCCCTCCCGTATATAGCTCTGCTTCCCTCCCGTATATAGCTCTGCTGCCCTCCCCTCCCGTATGTATCTCCCCCCGTATCTGCCCTCCATCCTTACATAGAAGTATCTGGAATCTTGTATCTAAAGCCACACAGTTTTTTGGGGGTTTTTTGTCGTGTTTTTATTGCTGTTGGTGCCCCCCACTGGAGAGACTCAACCTTTCTGACTGTCGCAGAGACAGAAAATGATGGGAGATCCAGTGGTGACACCTCCTCCGGTGAGCACCTCCTATGAGGAGTTCTTCCCTCACTTTGGAGAGATTATTTCTCACTTCCTTCAAGTGCAGGGGATATACTCCCCTTACTCGTCAGAGTCTCCCCTTATATCAGGGCCTCCATCCAGATTCTTCCCTTTCATCAGGGCCCCCCCTTTCATCAGGGCCCCAGTCAGATGCCCCCGTGACATCAGCGCCTCCTTCAAAGGCCCCCCTTACACCAGGGTCCCCGTCAGAGGCCCCCCTGACAACAGCGCCTCCTTCAAAGGCCCCCGTCAGAGCTCTCCCCTACATCAGGGCCCCGTCAGAGCTGTCCCCTACATCAGGGCCCCCGTCAGAGCTGTCCCCTACATCAGAGCCCCCGTCAGAGCTCTCCCCTACATCAGGGCCCCCGTCAGAGCTCTCCCCTACATCAGGGCCCCTGCCCCCCCCTTACATCAGGGCCCCTGCCAGAGGCCCCCCCCTACATCAGGGCCCCTGCCAGAGGCCCCCCCTTACATCAGGGCCCCTTCAGAGGCCCCCCCTTACATCAAAGGCCCCCCTTATATCAGGGCCCCCCATCAAAGCCCCCTTATATCAGGGCCCCCATCAGAGGCCCCTCGTACATCAGGGCCCCCGTCAGAGGCCTTCTCTTACATATGGGCCCCTGTCACAGGCCTCTTACGTCAGGGCCCCTGTCACAGGCCTCTTACATCAGGGGCCCTGTCACAGGCCTCTTACATCAGGGCCCCTGTCACAGGCCTCCTTTTACATCAGGGCCCCTGTCAGAGGCCTTCTCTTACATCAAGGCCTCCTTCAGAGGCCCCCCTTACACCAAGGCCCCCATCAAAGGTCCCCCCTTACATCAGGGCCCCCTACAGAGACCCCCGTACATCAAGGCCCCCGTCAGAGGCCTCCTCTTACATCAGGGCCCCCATCAGAGGCCCCCCCTTACATCAGGGCCCCTCTTACATTAAATGGATAAAACTCTTTCAAGGTCTGTTATGCACTTGGGGCCAGACAGTAAACACCCAGCAACCTCCTGGCCCACATATATTATAAATGGGCCCCCTAACACCCATAGGGCCCTTGTGCCCAGTCTGCACGCATGGTGTGAACTCCCTTAATTCCAGGAGTCCCATCAGAGGCAGGCCAGGAGCCTCAGCCGTGCCACGTACCAGACTTCCGGGCGGTGCCCTTTAAGATGGATCTTGTCAGACCTCGTATCGATCCTTCTGCGGGTCCTGGCCACGTATCGCCTCGCTTCCTGCTCCTTCCTGGACATCTTCCCATAATTGCATCTACCAGAGTCAGGGAAAAAATCAATAGAAGATTATTACTCAGGAACCCGGGGGTGCGCCATAGGTTTAGTCAGTCCAGATGGGGTGAGCATGGCGCTTCACAAAGAAGGAATGGAAGCTTTTGATTTTTTTTGTATGTAAATGAGATCAGCTTAGTGTTTCCTACGTACAGTGATTGCACTTTACTGTTCCTCTCTGTGCCTGTCTGTCTGTCAGGTCCAAATGATTAAAAACAACAGACTGTCTTTGTAATAAATTGGTTTTATCTCAGCAGATTCTGGTAAACTTAGTTACATGTAAAATAAGTACCTGCTGAAAATGCACATAAAAGAACCACAAATCAGATTTCCTTTATATAAAAGAGATGCCTGGCCCGATCTAAAAAAAAAAAATGTCTTTTTGTAAAAGTAGAGCAAAAATCCTGTGCTTACCCAGAATCCTTTCTGTTTTTTAGGAACAAGAAGAAGGAGGCAGACCTGCTGACAGCTCAGGCTCGCCTGAAGGATTTGGAGGCACTTCTGAACTCGAAGGATGCCGCACTTTCCACTGCGCTGGGCGAGAAACGCAACCTGGAAGCCGAGCTGCGGGACCTGAAAGGCCAGCTTGCCAAGGTTAGGAAATGGATAATGATCTGTTTGGGTAAGGGGGTGCCTTGTCCTGAGCAAGTGTTTAGCAGCAGCCTCTGAACTTATTTCAGGGGTGGGTGTGGCACCCATTACGGCCCCCTCAGAAGGGGACCATTTTGATTTGAAGGGACTTGGCAAGATGCATCATTAAAGTGTTACAAAACCCAGGACCCTGCATTCACTATATCCGCATTCACTATATCCGCATTCACTATATCTGCTCTCCCCGGATCCTGCATTCACTATATCCGTCTCCCGGGACCCCGCATTCACTATGTCTGCTCTCCCCGGGACCCTGCATTCACTGTCTGCTCTCCCCGGACCCTGCATTCACTATGTCTGCTCTCCCTGGACCCTGCATTCACTATGTCTGCTCTCCCTGGACCCTGCATTCACTGTCTGCTCTCCCCGGACCCTGCATTCACTATGTCTGCTCTCCCTGGACCCTGCATTCACTATATCCGCTCTCCCCGGACCCTGCATTCACTATGTCTGCACTCCCGGACCCTTCATTCACTATATCTGCTCTCCCCAGACCCCGCATTCACTATATCCGCTCTCCCCAGACCCCGCATTCACTATATCCGCTCTCCCCGATTCCTGCATTCACTATATCCCCTTTCCCAGGACCCTGCGTTCACTATATCCGCTCTCCCCCGGACCCCGCATTTACTATATCCGCACACCTCGGACCCCGCATTCACTATATCAGCTCTCACGAACCCCGCATTCACTATATCCAGTCTCCCCGGACCCAATATTCACTGTATCCAGTCTCCCCCCGAACCCCGCATTCACTATATCCACTCTCTCCCGGATCCTGCATTCACTATATTCACTCTCCACAGACCCTGCATTCACTATATCCGCTCTCCCTGGACCCCGCACTCACTATATCCACTTTCCCCGGATCCTGCATTCACTATATCCGCTCTCCCTGGACCCCGCATTCACTATATCCGCTCTCCCCAACCCTGCATTCATTATATCTGCTCTCCCCGGACCGCGCATTCACTATATCCACTCTCCCTGGACCCCGCATTCACTATATCCGCTCTCCCCGGACCCCGCATTCACTATATCCGCTCCCCCTGGACCCTGCAATCACTATATCCGGTCTCCCCAGACCCCTCATTCACTATATCCGCTCTCCCCGGACCCTGCATTCACTATATCCGCTCTCCCTGGACCCCGTATTCACTATATCCGCTCTCCCCCCCGGACCCCGCATTCACTATATCCGCTCTCCCCGGACCCCGCATTCACTATATCCGCTCTCCCCGAACCCCGCATTCACTATATTCTGCTCTCCCCGGACCCCGCATTCACTATATCCGCTCTCCCCGGACCCTGCATTCACTATATTCGCTCTCCCCCAGACCCTGCATTCACTATATCCGCTCTCCCTGGACCCCGCACTCACTATATCCACTTTCTCCGGACCTTGCATTCACTATATCCGCTCTCCCTGGACCCCGCACTCACTATATCCACTTTCTCTCCGGACCCTGCATTCACTATATCCGCTCTCCCTGGACCCCGCATTCACTATATCTGTCTCCCCGGACCCTGCATTCACTATATCTGCTCTCCCCGACCCCGCATTCACTATATCCGCATCACAGGCATCATCAGATGGGGGTTTGATCAGCCACATCTGAAGGAACCCTGAGCAACCTCTGGAGGAACCCTTGTTGAGAATGGCTAGCTAGCCAGGTATGTTTTACCATCTCACCATGGGCAAAGGTTCCTCTTTACAGGGACAGGGAAAGTGCAGTACCCATGTGTCTCCCGAGAAGTTGAGCTTTACTTTGCAGGATTGCATCATTAACTACTTAAAAGACACAAACTATAAGTTCTGCCTCTCCACCTCCAGCCTCAGAAATAATACCATATTTTAAAGTTGGCCTCGTATGTTACATTCTTTAGGCTCTGCAATGGGCAAAGGTTTCGCAGCATCTTTGACCTTTTTAAGGGGCAGGGAAAGTGCCGCACCCATTACGGCCCCTCTGAAGTGGAGCATTACTTGGAGGGAACCTTTCAAGTAATGAGTTATCTTTGAGTTCTGCTTCTTACAACTCTTATCAGTTTTGGTTCTTAGTTAAGTTACAACAACCCTCTTTCATTTGTCAAAACATTCTCAAGCCAACGTTTTCGTAGGGTTACACGGCCAGCTTTAGGCTGCTTTGGGCTTAACCCCTTCCAGACCGGACACTTTTACCCCCTTCCTGACCCCCTCTGGACACTTTCCCCCCCTTCCAGTCCGGACACTTTTACCCCCCCTTCCTGACCAGGGCAATTTTCAGCTTTTAGCACTATCACACTTTGAATGACAATTGCGCGGTCATGCAACACTGTACCCAAATGAATTTTTTACCATTTTTTTTTAGATAAAGCTTTATTTTGGTGGTATTTATTCACCGCTGGGATTTGTATTTTTTTTTTGCTATGTAAATGAAATGTCCAAAAATTTTGAAAAAAAGTGTTTTTTTTATATAAAATTTTGCAAATAAATAATATTTCATCATAAATCTTAGCCAAAATTTATTCCGTTATCTTTTTAGTAAAAAAAAAAAAAATCCAAATTAGTTTATAAGCAAAAATTATCATTTTAAAACATTTTTTTTTACATTTTTTATTTTATTTTTTTATATTATTATTTTTAATTTATTTTTTTTTTTTTACATACTGTCACCCTAGCAGTGTGGGGTCACCATGGTGACACTGTACTACTTGTGGGGGGTGAAGATTTTTTTTTTTTTTTTTTTTACACTGATTGCTTTTACACCCATATAGGATGTAAAAGCAATCATTTCTCCTTCTCTCTGTCTGCATTCTTGCACTCATTGAGAAGAACTGAGTGAGCTGTGATTGGTCACAGCTTGTCACATGGTACAAGGCTTTTGTGAATAGCCTTGTACCATGTGACCTCTGTGATCATTCACAGATTTCACACGTAGTAAGCAATGATGTCACAAGTGACATCTTGCTTACTACTTTGCATGTGATCACTGATTGGCCAATCAGTGATCACATGATCGAGACCTCGTACAGAGGTCCCGTCCGACGATCGGTGTTTCACTGTGTCCGGAGGACACAGCGGGCACCGGATCGCGGTGCTGCGCGCGCTCCCAGGGAGCGCGCACAAGCAGGGTGCAGGGAGGCCGTTTATAGACGGCCACCCGACCCTGCAGTGCCACCGTCCGGCCGTTTATATACAACGGCCGGTCGGGAAGTGGTTTAAACACTTTCATGGCAGTTGTAGGCGGCTTTATGTAACGAGAAACATTTACACAAATTTGTGGTTTCCCGTAGCTGGAAGGAAGCCTCGTGGATGCAAAGAAACAGCTTCAGGATGAGATGCTTCGCCGCGTCGATGCGGAGAATCGGAACCAGACCCTGAGGGAGGAGCTGGAGTTCCAGAAGAACATCTACGGCGAGGTTGGTGAAGCACACATGGAAGCTCCGCATTACATAAAATAGCGATTGCGCTCTGATGAGGTCAATGTATCTTTCCGCAGGAGCTGCGGGAGTCCAAACGGCGGCACGAAACACGCCTGGTCGAGATTGACAGTGGGCGCCAGCGGGAGTTCGAGAGCAAGCTGGCCGATGCCCTCCTGGAGCTGCGCGCCCAGCACGAGGGACAGATCGGTTTATACAAGGAGGAGTTGGAGAAGACTTACAATGCCAAGGTAAAGCTAGATTCCGGCGAGGCTGTATCGGTTCGGGGCTCCGGCTTGCTTCTGTATAAATGACCACGTGTTATTTTTTTGGCTTTTAGCTGGAGAACGCCAAGCTGTCCGCAGAAAGGAACAGCACCATGGTGGGAGAGGCCCACGAGGAGCTCCAGCAGAGCCGAATCCGTATAGACAGCCTGAGCACCCAGCTGAGCCAGCTCCAGAAGCAGGTGAGAATGGATCAGATCAGGAGGTCGAGCGGCCACACGTTGGCACGGGCATTAAAATCTTTGGTACAGAATAGGCAGACAGGAGGTCCAACGTGCGTGGGAAGATATCTCCTCCCACCTTACCGCCTTCATGTTACATGTAGTTCCTAAAAAACCTTTCAATATTTTGCCATACAGGTTACTGAACACTCCTTTCAAGTAGCTAATTTTTGATGGTTACATAGTTTTGCACCTCCCACAATTTGACGTTTCCTCTTCTCTATATGCAGCTGGCAGCCAAGGAGGCAAAACTGCGTGATCTCGAGGATGCGCTGAGCCGTGAGAGAGACTCCAACCGCCGAGCGCTGGCGGAAAAAGACCGCGAGATGGCTGAGATGAGGGCCCGTATGCAGCAGCAACTGGACGAGTACCAGGAGCTGCTGGACATCAAGTTGGCATTGGACATGGAGATCCGCGCTTACCGCACCCTACTGGAGGGAGAGGAGGAGAGGTGAGTGAATGTTGCCCCCTGGTGGGTGGAGGTTAAGCAGAACACCGCCTATCTGACCTCGTAGGACAGGGAACTAACTTTTTTTAAAATAGTATTTGCTACGCATCTTATGCCTCTATGGGCTGTTGACCCGTCCAAGCAAAATTTTACAGTGGACATGAACACTATCAATTTAGGCCGCCCCTTGGGCCAGATCTAGCCTGTCAGATGTGGGGGTGCGGTAAAAAATGTCAGGAGGAAGAGGATGGGAGGTCAGCAGGGCAGTGAACAGGGGGGTCAGCATTTTGTAAGGCAGTATACAGAGGCTATTGGTTTGTAGGACAGTGTACAGGGGTCAGCAAGGCAGAGGACAGTGGGTCAGCAGGGAGGAGTACAGGGGTCAGCAGGGCCGAGGATGGGAGGTCAGCAGGGCAGTGTACAGGGGGTCAGCAGGGCAGTGTACAGGGGGTCAGCAGGGCAGTGTACAGGGGGTCAGCAGGGCAGAGGATGGGAGGTCAGCAGGGCAGTGTACAGGGGGTCAGCAGGGCAGAGGATGGGAGGTCAGCATGGCAGTGTACAGGGGGGCCAGCAGGGTAGAGGGATAGGGTCAGCAGTTTGTAAGACAGCGTACAGAGGCTATTAGTTTGTAGGACAGTATACAGGGCGTCAGCAAGGTGGAGGGCAGTGGGTCAGCAGGGAGGAGTTCAGGGGTCAGCAGGGTAGAGAATGGGAGGTCAGGGGGTCAGCAGGACAGAGAAAGGGCTCAGCAGTTTGTAAGGCAGTATACAGAGGCTATTAGTGTGTAGAACAGTATACAGGGCGTCAGCAAGGTGGAGGGCAGGGGTCAGCAGGGAGGAGTACAGGGGTCAGCAGGGTAGAGGATGGGAGGTCAGCGGGGCAGTGTACAGGGGGTCAGCAGGGTAGAGAATGGGAGGTCAGCAGGGCAGTGTACAGGGGGTCAGCAGGACAGAGAATGGGGGTCAGCAGTTTGTAAGGCAGTATACAGAGGCTATTAGTCTGTAGGACAGTATACAGGGTGTCAGCAGAGCAGAGGACAATAGGTCAGCAGGGAGGAGTGCAGGGGTCAGCAGGATAGAGAATGGGGGGTCAGCAGGTTAGAGGATGGGAGGTCAGCAGGGCAGTGTACAGGGGGTCAGCAGGGTAGAGGATAGGGTCAGCAGTTTCTAAGACAGCGTACAGAGGCTATTGGTTTGTAGGACAGTGTACTGGGTGTCTTCAGAGGGCAGTGGGTCAGCAGGGAGGAGTACAGGGGTCAGCAGGGAGGAGTACAGGGGTCAGCAGGGCAGAAGATGGGAGGCAGGGCAGAAGATGGGAGGTCAGCAGGGGAATGTACTGGAATTGGTAAGGGTGTACTGGCGGTCTGCAGAGTAGTGTACAAGGGTCAGCAGGGCATTGTGCAGGGATGAGAGATGGCCAGCACAGCGTCAGGGGTGGTGGGGGTCTTTGGGGGGGTGCAACTGAAATCTGGAGGGCACAGCCCACCCAGGCACCCACCTAGATCCAGCTATGCCATGGGGTATGTATTAAACCTTTCCCTGGTATCCTATCTGTTCCTTCTGCCTCGCTTGTTCTTCTTGTTGTGAGGGAACATCAGTAACAAATGACTTTGGACTTCTGGTTCTTTGCTTTGGCACTCTTAATAGACTTCTACGTGGATTCCAACATTTTAGAACCCTTGTTTGTGCTGAGAACGGCCTCATCTGATCCATTGTATGAATTCTGTTGATCTTCTTCAGCCATGAATCATTGATGAGTTGAATCCGGGTTTACAGGTTCTGGTAGGACCTCTAGTGGCTGACAGGAAGCTTCTCATGCACTGCCTACCCAGCACTAGAGGTACCACCAGAAACTGTCCATCAAGGCTGACTCTCCTGCAGTCAATCGGTTCAATCTGTTTTTGTCAATTGATGTTTCCTTCAGAAACTGGGACGAGGTACGCCGCAGGTGCCAGTGTCTTGTACTGCCTGCCTGGCATGAGCCGAAATGGCCTGGATAGATAATTATACGCGGAATCAACCGGTTTGATTCTCTCTCATGCAGACTCCGACTCTCGCCCAGCCCCAGCGGGCAGAAGAGGACGGCCAGGACAGGGCAATCCTCGGGGCAGGTCACCTCTTCCTCCAAGAAGCGTAAGATGGAGGGATCAGAGTCGCGGACTACCAGTTACACCCAGCACGCCAGGACCAGCGGGAAGGTGGCCGTGGAGGAGGTGGACCTGGAAGGCAAGTTTATCCGACTGAAGAACAAGTCCAATGAGGTGAGACTGGAGAAATGACATGGGGGGAGGGGGGGGGGTGGTAGAGCTTCCTTGGCAGGTTAATTGCAGTATCCCAATTTGGTGAGATTTCCTTTCAACTTCCTGTTTAAGCATCAATCTCAGGATATGACTTGATGGGCAATCTTTTGCAAAATGCTTTGATGGGTAGGTGTCAGTCTGTTGGAGGGGCATTCTTAGGCAGGGTGGATTTGCATAGGTAACGCACACGTGATGCTGAGCCTCCATGATGGAAAGAACTGAAATCCAACGAATGAAAGGGACGGGGACCAGGAACAGTCAGGCAGGGGAGGAAAGGCCTAGAGCAGGGGTCTCCAAACTGAGGACCAAGGGCTGGATGTAGCTCTTTGCTACCCTTTATTCGGCCCTTGGGGCACTATTCCTCCCACTGAGACAAAGTTTGGGGTAGTACTTCTTCCCATGAAACCAATGGTGGTGTACTATTCTTCCCACGGTGGGGCACTATTCCTCCCACTGAGACAAAGATTGGGGTAGTAGTTCTTCTCATGAAACCAATGATGGTGTACTATTCTTCCCATGGTGGGGCACTATTCCTCCCACTGAGACCAAGAATGGGGTAGTAGGAACTTCTTCTTCCATGGTAGGGCAATTCCTCCCACCAAAGATGGGGTACTTTTTCTCATGGAAACCAATGATGGTGTACTATTCTTCCTATGGTGGGGCACTATTCCTCCCACTGAGGCCAAGATTGGGGTAGTACATCTTCCAATAGACCCAATGATGGTGTACTATTCTTCCAATGGTGGGGCACTATTCCTCCCACTGAGGCCCAAAATGGAGTAGTACTTATTCCCATGGAACCAATGATGGTGTACTATTCTTCCCATGGTGGGGCATTATTCCTCCCACTGAGACCAAGATTGGGGCAGTACTTCTTCCCATGAAACCAATGATGTGTACTATTCTTCCCATGGTGGGGCATATTCCTCCCACTGAGACCAAGAATGGGTAGTACTTATTCCCATGGAACCAATGATGGTGTACTATTCTTCCCATGGTGGGGCATTATTCCTCCCACTGAAACCAAGAATGGGGTAGTACTTCTTCCCATGGAACCAATGATGGTGTACTATTCTTCCCATGGTGGGGCACTATTCCTCCCACTGAGACCAAGAATGGGGTAGTACTTCTTCCCATGGAACCAATGATGGTGTACTATTCTTCCCATGGTGGGGCACTATTCCTCCCACTGAGACCAAGAATGGGGTGTTTTTTCTTCCCATGAAACCAATGGTGTACTATTCTTCCCATGGTGGGGCACTATTCCCCTACTGAGGCCACAAATGGAGTAGTACTTCTTCCCATGGAACCAATGATGGTGTACTATTCTTCCTACGGTGGGGCACTATTCCTCCCACTGAAACCAACAATGGGGTAGTACTTCTTCTCATGGAACCAATGATGGTGTCCTATTCTTCCCATGGTGGGCACTATTCCTCCCACTGAGGCAAAGATTGGGGTAGTTCTTCTCATGGAACCAGTGATGGTGTACTATTCTTCCTACTGTGGGGCACTATTCCTCCCACTGAGACCAAGATTGGGGTAGTACATCTTCCAATAGACCCAATGATGGTGCACTATTCTTCCTACGGTGGGGCACTATTCCTCCCACTGAAACCAACAATGGGGTAGTACTTCTTCTCATGGAACCAATGATGGTGCACTATTCTTCCCATGGTGGGGCACTATTCCTCCCACTGAGACCAAGAATGGGGTAGTACTTCTTCCCATGAAACCAATGATGGTGTACTATTCTTCCCATGGTGGGGCACTACTCCTCCAACTGACCAACAACCCCCGAGGCCATGTTTATTCTCACTGATGCTGGGTTCAGGATATTGTCTATCCTCAGGGCCCAGTGAGGGCCCTAATCCGGCCCTCCTAAAGTTTGAAGGACAGTATAGTGGCCCTTTGAAAAGTTTGGAGACCCCTGGCCTAGAGAATGCTGGATGTACTCTTAGTATAGCTGGGAAACATGTGACCACCTCCCTGTGATGCTGTTTGGATCCGGCAGCCAATCCCTAAGCCCGAGTACTCACCCGTGACCAAGGGGCATTCCAACAACGCTCCCCTCTGCTTCAAAACACCAGCCAACAGCTGCGGCGGCAGCAAGCAAGCGGTGGAAAGACTAAATTTCAGACTTCGAAGGTGGGAAGGTATAATTTTTGGTGGGATCTCTACATGGACATCACCACTTTGTCCTAAAATGAATACGGTGACAACGTCTCTTTAAAGCCAAATCATAACATATGGCGTTGTCGGCAGGATCATTGTCAGTTCACAACTGTCCTTCTTGGCTGGGAACCTTCCAAATTCATCTGAAAGAGCAGAAAAAAAAAACAAACACAAAAAAAAAAAACGTGAATCTTGTTTTAGGGGACGGGGGATTTGTTTCGATTTTTCTGGTCTGCTTTTATGAAATATGAACTGTTGATAACCCGTCAATACGTCGTCCCGCAGGATCAGTCGCTGGGGAACTGGACCATCAAGCGCCAGATTGGAGACGATAAGCCGATTGTTTACCGCTTCCCCCCCAGAGTCATGCTGAAGGCCGGACAAACCCTGACTGTGAGTCCTAAGTAGTGGCTGTTGATATTGCTGGGCTTTGAGCGCCCCCTAGTGTTTAATGGTAGGAACTGCAAATTTCTGTTTTTTAATGGGCTCAAAAAAACTGCTTCAGTAAAAAAATGTTTTGTAGTGTTTCTTTAACCACTTCCAATCCAAACACTTTCACCCCCTTCCAATCCGAACACTTTCACCCCCTTCCAATCCGAACACTTTCACCCCCTTCCAATCCGGACACTTTCACCCCTTCCAGTCCGGACACTTTCACCCCCCTTCCAATCCGAACACTTTCACCCCTTCCAATCCGGACACTTTCACCCCCTTCCAATCCGGACACTTTCACCCCTTCCAATCCGAACACTTTCACCCCCTTCCAATCCGGAACACTTTCACCCCCTTCCAATCCGGAACACTTCCCCCCCCTTCCAGTCCGGACGCTTCCCCCCCCCTTCCAGTCCGGAACACTTTCCCCCCCTTCCAGTCCGGACACTTTCCCCCCTTCCAATCCGAACACTTTCACCCCTTCCAGTACGGACACTTTCCCCCCTTCCAGTCCGGACACTTTCCCCCCCTTCCAGTCCGGACACTTTCACCCCCTTCCAGTCCGAACACTTTCCCCCCCTTCCAGTCCGGATACTTTCACCCCTTCCAATCCGAACACTTTCCCCCCCTTCCAGTCCAGACACTTTCACCCCTTCCAGTCCGGACACTTTCGCCCCCCTTCCAGTCCGAACACTTTCACCCCTTCCAGTCGGACACTTCCCCCCCTTCCAGTCCGGACACTTTCACCCCCTTCCAGTCCGGACACTTTCACCCCTTCCAGTCCGGACACTTTCACCCCCTTCCAGTCCGGACACTTTCACCCCCTTCCAGTCCGGACACTTTCACCCCCTTCCAGTCCGGACACTTTCCCCCCTTCCAGTCCGGACACTTTCACCCCCTTCCAGTCCGGACACTTTCACCCCCTTCCAGTCCGGACACTTTCACCCCTTCCAGTCCGAACACTTTCACCCCCTTCCAGTCCGGACACTTTCACCCCTTCCAGTCCGGACACTTCACCCCCTTCCAGTCCGGACGCTTTCACCCCCTTCCAATCCGGACACTTCCCCCCCTTCCAGTCCGGACACGCTTTCCCCCCCCTTCCAGTCCGGACACTTTCCCCCCCTTTTAGTCCGGACACTTTCCCCCCCTTCCAGTCCGGACACTTTCCCCCCTTCCAGTCCGACACTTTCACCCCCTTCCAGTCCGGACACTTTCCCCCCCCTTCCAGTCCGGACACTTTCCCCCCCTTCCAGTCCGGACACTTTCACCCCCTTCCAGTCCGGACACTTTCACCCCCTTCCAGTCCGGACACTTTCACCCCCTTCCAGTCCGACACTTTCACCCCCTTCCAGTCCGGACACTTTCACCCCCTTCCAGTCCGGACACTTTCCCCCCCCTTCCAGTCCGGACACTTTCACCCCCCCCAGTCCGGACACTTTCACCCCCCCTTCCAGTCCGGACACTTTCCCCCCCCTTCCAGTCCGGACACTTTCACCCCCTTCCAGTCCGGACACTTTCACCCCCTCCAGTCCGGACACTTTCACCCCCTTCCAGTCCGGACACTTTCCCCCCCCTTCCAGTCCGGACACTTTCACCCCCTTCCAGTCCGGACACTTTCCCCCCCTTCCAGTCCGGACACTTTCACCCCTTCAGTCGGACACTTTCACCCCTTCCAGTCCGGACACTTTCACCCCTTCCAGTCCGGACACTTTCACCCCTTCCAGTCCGGACACTTTCACCCCTTCCAGTCCGGACACTTTCACCCCTTCCAATCCGAACACTTTCACCCCTTCCAGTCCGGACACTTTCACCCCCTTCCAGTCCGGACACTTTCACCCCCTTCCAGTCCGGACACTTTCACCCTCTTCCAGTCCGGACACTTTCACCCCCTTCCAGTCCGGACACTTTCACCCCCCTTCCCAGTCCGGACTTTCACCCCCTTCCAGTCCGGACACTTTCACCCCCTTCCAGTCCCACGCTTTCACCCCCCCCTTCCAGTCCGGACGCTCACCCCCCCCTTCCAGTCCGGACACTTTCACCCCCTTCCAGTCCGGACACTTTCACCCCTTTCCAGTCCGGACTTTCACCCCCCTTCCAGTCCGGACACTTTCACCCCCTTCCAGTCCGGAACACTTCCCCCCCCCCCTTCCAGTTCGGAACAATTCCCCCCCCCCCCCCCCCCCTTCCAGTCCGGAACAATTCCCCCCCCCCCCCCCTTCCAGTCCGGAACAATTCCCCCCCCCCCTTCCAGTCCGGAACAATTCCCTCCCCCCCCTTCCAGTCCGGAACACTTTCCCCCCCCCCCTTTCCAGTCCGGAACAATTTCCCCCCCCTTCCAGTCCGGAACAATTTCCCCCCTTTCCAGTCAAGATGCTTTCACCCCCTTTCAGTCCACAATTTCCGGTCATGCAACACTGCACCCATATGAATTCCGGCACTTTCACCCCCTTCCAATCCGAACACTTTCACCTCCTTCCAGTCCGGACACTTTCACCTCCTTCCAGTCCGGACACTTTCACCTCCTTCCAGTCCGGACACTTTCCCCCCCCTTCCAGTCCGGACACTTTCACCCCCTTCCAGTCCGGACACTTTCACCCCTTCCAGTCCGGACACTTTCACCCCCTTCCAGTCCGGACTTTCACCCCCTTCCAGTCCGGACACTTTCACCCCCTTCCAGTCCGGACACTTTCACCCTCTTCCAGTCCGGACACTTTCACCCCCTTTCCAGTCCGGACTTTCACCCCCTTCCAGTCCGGACGCTTTCACCCCCTTCCAGTCCGGACACTTTCACCCTCTTCCAGTCCGGACACTTTCACCCCCTTCCAGTCCGGACTTTCACCCCCTTCCAGTCCGGACGCTTTCCCCCCCTTCCAGTCCGGACTTTCACCCCCTTCCAGTCCGGAATGCTTCCCCCCCTTCCAGTCCGGAACAATTCCCCCCCTTCCAGTCTGGAACCTTCCCCCCCCTTCCAGTCCAGGAACAATTCCCCCCCCCCCCTTCCAGTCCAGAACAATTCCCCCCCCCCCCTTCCAGTCCGGAACAACCCCCCCCCCCTTTCCAGTCCGGAACAATTCCCCCCTTTCCAGTCCGGACACTTTCACCCCCTTCCAGTCAAGATGCTTTCACCCCCTTTCAGTCCACAATTGCGCGGTCATGCAACACTGCACCCATATGAATTTTTTAGCATTTTTTTGAGACAGATAAAGCTTTATTTTGGTGGTATTTATTCACCGCGGGGATTATTATTTTTTTGCTATATAAATGAAAAAGTCCAAAATTTTTGAAAAAAAAAGTGTTTTTCTTATACAGTTTTGCAAATAAAATAATCTTTCTTCATAAATCTTGGTCAAAATTTATTCAGCTATCTTTTTATTAAAAAAAAAAAAAAAAAAAAATAACCCAAATTAGTAACCAAAAATTAAAATTTTTCAAAAAATTTTTTAACATTTTTATTTTTTTTATTTTATTTGTTTTTTTTTAACATACTGTCACCCTGGCAGTACTGTGTCACCATGGTGACACTGTACTACTTGTGGGGGGTGATGAAGATTTTTTTTTTGTTATACAGTGATTGCTTTTACACCAATAAAGGCTGTAAAAACAGTTATTTCTCCTTCTCTCTGCATTCCTGCAGCCATTGAGAAATACTGTGTGAGCTGTGATTGGTCACAGCTTGTCATATGGTACAAGGGTGTTGTGAATGGCCCTGTACCATGTGACCTCTGTGATCATTCACAGATTTCACATGTAGTAAGCAATGATGTCAGGAAATGACACCTTGCTTACTACTCTTCATGTGATCACTGACTGGCCAATGAGTGATCACATGATCGGGACCTCGTACAGAGGGGTCCTGTACAGCGATCGCGGTGCCACACGCTGCCAGGGAGCGCATGCAGGCAGGGATGTGGGAGGACGTTTATAAACGTCCTCCCACATCCCTCCTCAACTGCCCTCCTCAAAATCACCAACGATCTACTAACCGCCAAAGCCAAAGGCGACTACTCTGTCCTCCTCCTCCTAGACCTCTCCGCGGCCTTTGACACAGTCGACCACCCCCTCCTCCTTAATAAACTACACTCCCTTGGCATCAGAGACTCCGCTCTCTCCTGGTTCTCGTCCTATCTATCCCAACGCTCCTTCAGCGTTTCCTACAACGGCGCCACCTCCTCTTCCCTCCCCCTCTCTGTTGGGGTCCCCCAGGGCTCTGTCCTTGGACCCCTTCTCTTCTCCATCTACACCTCCTCCCTCGGCCAACTCATACACTCCCACGGCTTCAATTACCACCTCTATGCTGATGACACTCAAATCTACCTCTCCACCCCCCACCTCACCCCCACATTCTCCGCCCGCATCACTCACCTCCTAAACGACATATCAGACTGGATGTCGCTCCATTTCCTGAAGCTCAACCTCTCCAAAACCGAGCTTCTCGTCTTTCCCCCAGCCCGCACCCCCCCCCCATCCTTTCCATCACTACCAACAACACCACCATCAATCCCGCCCAGCAAGCCAAAGTCCTTGGTGTCATTCTGGACTCAAACCTTTCCTTTCAACCTCATGTCAAATCTCTCACAAACACATGCAGGCTCCACCTCCGGAACATTGCCAAAGATACGCTCCTTCCTTACCCCAGACACCACTAAACTACTCGTACACTCCCTGATTATCTCACGCCTGGACTACTGCAACTCCCTCCTCACCGGCCTACCCCAGTGCAGGCTCTCCCCGCTTCAGACCATCCTGAACTCAGCTGCCAGACTCATCCACCTCACCAGCCGCTCCACCTCTGCCCCCCCTCTGCCTCTCCCTCCACTGGCTCCCCATTGCCCAACGCATTAAATTCAAACTACTAACCCTGACCTACAAAGCCATTCACAACACTGCCCCTGACTACCTCACCAACCTGATTCCCAGGTACCACCCTACCCGTACCCTTCGCTCTTCACAGGACCTCCTTCTATCTTGCTCCCTGGTCTCTCCTCCTCCCACGCACAACTGCAAGACTTCTCCAGGTCCTCCCCCATCCTCTGGAACTCACTACCCCAACCCATCAGACTGTCACCTTCCCTCCTCACCTTCAGCGCTCCCTGAAAACCCACCTCTTCAGGGAAGCCTACCCCACCCTCACCTAACAGCCGCTGCCCTTCCCTCCTCCTACCACTCCATCCCCCACAGCCGTTTCCTCCTGTGCCTCTACCCCCTCCCTCCTAGATTGTAAGCTCGAAAGAGTAGGGCCCTCTAACCCCTTGTGTACTGTTTTATGCTACTGTACTGTTTCATGTATTGTCCCCCCCCCCTCTATTGTACAGCGCTGAGCAAACCCTTTGGCGCTATATAAACTCGATAAATAAATAAATAAATGGCCGCCCGCTCCTGCTCTGTTCCCATCTGGCCGTTTATGTACATGGGCCGGACGGGAAGTGATTAATGTACAATTTATGTTTTTTGGGAATTTTTTATATCGAATTTTATTCGTTTTCTCCACTGATACTTATCACTGATGTCCCCATCCCTCCGCAGGTCTGGGCTGCTGGGGCCGGAGTGGCGCACAACCCCCCCAGCGAATTTGTCAATAAGTCCGCTAATTCCTGGGGCACCGGAGACAGCATCCGCACTGCTCTGCTTACATCCAGCAATGAGGTGAGTGCAGGGGACCTTACATGGGGTGCTCACAATGTGAAGTGATGTGACACCCAGGGGCACCCGAAATGTGGAGCTGCGGGGGCTGTGATTATATATTATACACAATGGGAATAAGAGGACTGAATGATAATATAAAATGACAGTAGTGATACTCATAGGGGGGCACAATGGGGGTGGTATCAGGTGTGATACTCATAGGGGGCACAGTGGGGGTGGTATCAGGTGGTGATACTCATAGGGGGGCACAGTGGGGGTAGTATCAGGTAGTGATACTCATAGGGGGGCACAGTGGGGGTGGTATCAGGTAGTGATACTCATAGGGAGGCACAGTGGGGGTGGTATCAGGTAGTGATACTCATAGGGGGGCACAGTGGGGGTAGTATCAGGTAGTGATACTCATAGGGGGGCACAGTGGGGGGTGGTATCAGGTAGTGATACTCATAGGGGGGCACAGTGGGGGTGGTATCAGGTAGTGATACTCATAGGGGGCACAGTGGGGGGTGGTATCAGGTAGTGATACTCATAGGGGGGCACAGTGGGGGTGGTATCAGGTAGTGATACTCATAGGGAGCACAGTGGGGGGTGGTATCAGGTAGTGATACTCATAGGGGGGCACAGTGGGGGTAGTATCAGGTAGTGATACTCATAGGGGGGCACAGTGGCCCTAGGTAGTGGTGGTATCAGGTAGTGATACTCATAGGGGGGCACAGTGGGGGTGGTATCAGGTAGTGATACTCATAGGGAGCACAGTGGGGGGGTACTACAGGTGGTGATACTCATAGGGGAGCACAGTGGGGGTGGTATCAGGTAGTGCCCCTCATAGTATCACAATGGGGGTAGTATCAGGTGGTGATACTCATATGGGGGCACAATGGGGGTAGTATCAGGTAGTGACTACTCCCCATGGGGGGCCCAGTGGGGGTAGTATCAGGTAGTGATACTCATAGGGTGCACAGTGGGGGTGGTATCAGGTACCTGATACTCATAGGGGGGCACCCATGGGGCCCCCCTATGAGTATCACTACCTGATACTCATAGGGGGGCCAATGTGGTGTATGAGTATCACTACAGTGGGGGTGGTATAGGTAGTGATACTCATAGGGGGGCACAGTGGGGGTGGTATCAGGTGGTGATACTCACCCACAATGGGGGTGGTATCAGGTAGTGATACTCATAGGGGGGCACAGTGGGGGTGGTATCAGGTAGTGATACTCATAGGGGAGCACAGTGGGGGTGGTATCAGGTAGTGATACTCATAGGGGGGCACAGTGGGGGTGTATCAGGTAGTGCTCACTACTGACCATTTGGAGACTCGGGCACCCCCACTGTGTAGGGGCCCCCCTATGAGTATCACTGGTACCTGATTCATAGGCTTTTTGTGTTTGAGCAATGAGTACACCCCACGATACCCCTATTGTGCCCCCCATATGTCAGTCACTACCCTGATACCATACCCATAGTGAGCCCCGGGGGGTGGTATCGGGTAGTGATACTCATAGGGGGGCACAGTGGGGGTATGAGTATCAGGTACCTGATACTCCCCCCACAGTGCCCCCTATGGTGGTGGTACTCATAGGGGGGCACAGTGGGGTGGTATCAGGTAGTGATACTCATAGGGGGGCACCTAGTGGGGGTATCACCACCTGATACTCAATAGGGGGGCACAGTGGGGGTGGTATCAGGTAGTGATACTCATAGGGAGCACAGTGGGGGTGGTATCAGGTACCATACCCCACTGGGGGGCACAGTGGGGGTGGTATCACTACCTGATACTCCCCCATAGGGCCCCAGTGGGGGGTGGTATCAGGTACCTGATACCACCCCCATAGGGGGCACAGTGGGGGTAGTATCAGGTACCTGATACTCATAGGGGCACAGTGGGGGTATGAGTATCAGGTACCTGATACTCACCAGGGGGGCACAATGGGGTGGGTGTATCAGGTGGTGATACTCATAGGGGGGCACAATGGGTAGTATCAGGTAGTGATACTCATACTGGGGCCAGTGGGGGTGGTATCAGGTACCTGATACTCACTGGGGGCCCCAGTGGGGGTATATCACCTGTAGTGCCAGGGGCGGACTGTGCATTATGGAGTCGGGGCACTGCCTGATACCCCCCCAGTAGTGCCCCCCATGAGATGTCCCTGATACCACCCCACTAGGCTTTTTTAGAGTTTGAGCAAGGGCACAGGGGCCCCATGATCCCCTATTGCCCGGGGGCCCCCATGATTGAGTCCGCCCCTGGTAGTGATACTCATAGGGGGGCACATGGTATCACCAGTGATACTCATAGGGGGGCACAGTGGGGGTGGTATCAGGGTGATACTCATAGGGGGGCACAGTATGGTAGTATCAGGTAAGTGATACTCAGGGGGGCCACTGTGCCCCCCTAGGAGTATCACTCATTTGGGGGTCAGTATCAGATACTCATGGGGGGGCCCACCCCAGGTGAGGGGGGCCTGTGGGGGTGGTATCAGTAGGGATACCCCAGTGGGGGTGTATCAGTAGTGATTATAGGGGGGCACAGTGAGTATCAGGTACCAGGGACTGACCATCATTGGGGCCCCCCCACTGAGGGGGGGTCCCCCATGATGAGTCCCTACCCATGATATTTTTGAGTTTGAGCAAGGACCAGGGGCCAATTGCCTATGAGTATCACTACCTGATACTCATAGGGCCACAGGGGGGTGGGGTACTGTGCCCCCCTATGGGGGAGATACCATAGGGGGCACAGTGGGGTGGTATCAGGTGGTGGTACTCATAGGGGGGGCACAGTGGGGGTGAGTATACCTGATACTACCCCCAGTGGGTGCCCCCTATGAGTATCACTACCTGATACTCACACCCCACTGTGCACCCCCTATGAGTATCACTACCTGATACTCCCCCAGGGTGGCACCCCTATGAGATACTCACCACCACAGTGGGGGTATATCAGGTAGTGATACTTAGTGCACCCCTATGGTGTATCAGGTGGTCCTGATACTCCCCACAGTGGGGGTGAGTATCAGGTAGTGATACTCATACTGGGGGCACAGTGGGGGTATCAGGTAGTGATACTCACAGTGGGGGCACAGTGGGGGTGGTATCAGGTAGTGATACTCATAGGGGGGCACAGTGGGGGTAGTATCAGGTAGTGCTCAGGGGCGGACTGACCATTTGGAAACTCGGGCACTGCCTGAGGGCCCGGGGTCAGTAGGGGGTCCCATGAGATGTCCCTGGTACCTTTTTCATAGGCTTTTTTGAGTTTGAGCAAGGGGACACAGGGGCCCCATGATCCCCTATTGCCCGGGGGCCCCATGAGTTGTCAGTCCGCCCCTGGTAGTGATACTCATAGGGGGGCACAGTGGGGGTGGTATCAGGTAGTGATACTCATAGGGGGGCACAGTGGGGGTAGTATCAGGTGGTGATACTCATAGGGGGGCACAGTGGGGGTGGTATCAGGTGGTGATACTCATAGGGGGGCACAGTGGGGGTGGTATCAGGTAGTGGTACTCATAGGGGGGCACAGTGGGGGTGGTATCAGGTGGTGATACTCATAGGGACAGTAGAAGCAGTTGGGGGAAGATGTTGGGGTAGGGGGACTGGGAGAGGATGGGGGGGGGTAGTGGTAGTCGGAGAGGATGGAGGGGGGGAGTAGTAGTAGTAGTCGGAGAGGAAGGAGGAGGGGGGAGTGGTAGTCGGAGAGGAGGGGGATAGTCGGAGGGGGGGGGGGGGAGTGGTAGTCGGAGAGGATGGAGGGGAGGGGTCGGAGAGGATGGAGGGGGGAGTAGTCGGAGAGGATGGAGGGGGGAGTAGTAGTCGGAGAGGATGGAGGGGGGGAGTAGTCGGTGGAGGGGGGAGTAGTCGGAGAGGATGGAGGGGGGAGTAGGGTAGTCGGAGAGGATGGAGGGGGGAGTAGTAGTCGGAGAGGATGGAGGGGGGTAGTAGTAGTCGGAGAGGATGGAGGGGGGAGTAGTAGTCGGAGAGGATGGAGGGGGGAGTAGTAGTCGGAGAGGATGGAGGGGGGAGTAGTAGTCGGAGAGGATGGAGGGGGGAGTAGTAGTCGGAGAGGATGGAGGGGGGAGTAGTAGTCGGAGAGGATGGAGGGGGGAGTAGTAGTTAGTTAGTGGTTTTCGTGTCATTGGAGTAGCAGCTCTAATTAATCTATAGAAAGAGAAATAGCTGGAAGACGATAAAGGGGGGGCAGAATGTGGTGCTGGGGGGGGGTACTTTCAGGGAAAGCGTGGGGGTGGAGTAAGGGAATGGATGGGGGTGGAGTAAGGGAATGGATGGGGGTGGAGTAAAGGACAGGATGGGGGTGGAGTAAAGGACAGCTTCAGGGAAGGGGGAGGGATTGGAATGTGATTGGAGAGTAGGATGGGAGTGGGCGTAGACAAAACTGGTAGAAGTGGCAGTTAGTCAGGTGACACGATGAGGGGTGGAGCGAGGATGATATTGGGGGGTGTCATAGAAGACTGAGGTGGGGGCCAATAATTGGAAGCAGTAGGCGCAGGACGGGGGGGGTGTATTTTCATTGGCTGGGGTAGGTGGTGACATCATTGAGGTGATCTGCGGCTCCTCTGGGGACGTCCCACCCATTTACTCTCCCCCTCCCCCCACAGGAAGTTGCGATGCGTAAGCTGGTGCGGGCCCTGGTGAACGATGAGGATGATGAAGATGATGAAGAAGAGGATGAGCACCACCATCACCACCATCATCATGTAAGTCTGCTCAGGTTCCCCATCTCGGGGTGCAGTGGACATGGATGGGGGAGGGGTTCTGTAGTCCTCAGAAGGGTGGGCCGTCCAGGGCCGAGGTTTGGGGGCATGGGCCCCCCGATTCCAGGTCTGCACAGACCACCTCTTAGGGTTCACATACTTTTTCTCCATCCCCCACCAGACGGTCACAACTCCACCGGAGACCCCAGCGAGTACAACCTTCGCTCCCGCAACATCACCTGCACCACGTGTGGCCAGCCGGCCGACAAGGGTCTCAATACCTCCGCCGGGGGCGGGGCCTCCTCTTCATCCAGCTCCTACACTACCGTCACCCGCACCTTCCGCAGCACGGGCGGGGCCAGCGGGAGCAGCGGGCCTGGGAGAGAGTCTGACACCCCGCTCCTACATCCTGGGGACCAACCAGCGTGCTCAGGTGAGGGACACACCACCCCACCAATCCAAGATCACAGACCATCGCTGTGGGAGGGGCAGAGACACAATATACTGCAGGGAAATATCATTGTGGGAGGGGCAGAGACACAAACCACTGGGGGGGAATCTCATTGTGGGAGGGGCAGAGGCACAATATACTGCTGGAAATCTCATTGTGGGCGGGGCAGAGACACAATATAGTGGGGGGAGGGAATCTCATTGTGGGAGGGGCAGAGACACAAACCACTGGGGGGAATCTCATTATGGGTGGAGCAGACACAATACATTGGGGGGGAGGGAATCTCCTCATTGTGGGAGGGGCAGAGACACAAACTAGGGGGGGGGGAAATCTCATTGTGGGAGGGGCAGAGACACAAACCACTGGGGGGGGAAATCTCATTGTGGGAGGGGCAGAGGCACAATGTACTGCTGGAAATCTCATTGTGGGCGGGGGGCAGAGACACAATATAGTGGGGGGAGGGAATCTCATTGTGGGAGGGGCAGACACAATAAACTGCAGGGAAATCTCATTGTGGGAGGGGCAGAGACACAAACCACTAGGGGAACTATGGGGGAGGACACAATACATTGGGGGGGAGGGAATCTCCTCATTGTGGGAGGGGCAGAGACACAAACTAGGGGGGGGGATCTCATTGTGGGCGGGGCTGAGACACAATATACTGGGAGGAGGGAATCTCCTCATTGTGGGAGGGGCAGAGACACAAACTACTGGGGGGAAATCTCATTGTGGGAGGGGCAGAGACACAAACTACTGGGGGGAAAATCTCAATGTGGGGGGGGGCAGACACACAAACTACTGGGGGGGAATCTCCCCATTGTGGGCGGGGCAGAGATACAAACTACTGGGTGGAATCTCCCCATTGTGGGCGGGGCAGAGACACAAACTACTGGGTGGAATCTCCCCATTGTGGGCGGGGCAGACCCAGCTGTGTCTCTCTGTAGTTCCCAGTCCTGCGGTTTATCTGATGATATCTTTCTCTCCTTCTCCCTCGTAGGTCCCCCCCCAGAGCTGTGCCGTCATGTAACCTCATCCCGTGACAACGACAACTATTAAAGCTAATCCCACGGGATATATTTTGTTTGTTTTTTTTTACTTTTTCTACATCCGAATATTTTATAGAAGGAAAAAAAATGCTTTTTTTTTGTTGTTATTTGAAAGCAGCTTATATGTCTGAATGAAACCAAAGGTTCAAAAAATGATGTATATCAGGTAGGCCTCGCCCCTTGGCGTCGGCGGGCGCCCTGGCAAAGCTCCTCCAGTTGGTCTCCCCCCACTGCGAGGTTGTCACCCACATGGAAGAAAAATATATTTGGAATATATTTTAAAAATATTCTTCCCAAATATATTGCCGTATTTTTGAATTACTACAATTGTGGCCACATTCAATATATTTCAAAATATATTTCAATAACTATATATATATATAATAAAATCCCATATATATATATTGCATGTTGAAATGCGTTTTTTTACAAAACATATGAAAAATATTTTTAAAAATACATTTCAAGTATATTGTAGGTCTTTAAGAATACAAATCTACATTTTTTAAATGCATTTACAAATATATGTTAAATGACTTTTACATGTTAAAAAAAAAATCTGAAGAATATGTTAAAAAAAAAATTAAAAAATTATTTATAATTATAAATAATTATATTATATATATATATATATATATATATATATATATATATAGACACATACATACTGCATGTTGAAATGCATTTTTTATATATTACAAAATATATGAAAAGTATTTTTTCAAATATATATATTTTTTAAAATATATTCTTCCGATTTTTTTTACCATATAAAAAAAAAGTCATTTTAACATATAATTTTACATATATTTGTAAATGCATTCCAAAAATGTAGATTTGTATTTTTATATATATATTTTGCATGTTGAAATGTTTTTTTATTACAAAACATATGAAAAATATTTTCAAAAATACATTTTAAATATACTGTAGGTCTTTAAAAATACAAATCTACATTTTTGGAATGCATTTACAAATATATGTAAAAATATGTTAGAATGACTTTTATATATTGAAAAAAAAATCTGAAGAATATATATATAAAAAAAAATAAATATATATATATATATATATATATATAAAACACACACATACATACTGCATGTTGAAATGCATTTTTTATATATTACAAAATATATGAAAAATATTTTTTTAAAATATATATTTTTTAAATATATTCTTCAGATTTTTTTTACCATATAAAAAAAAAGTCATTTTAACATATAATTTTACATATATTTGTAAATGCATTCCAAAAATGTAGATTTGTATTTTTAAAGACCTACAGTATATTTGAAATGTATTTTTAAAACTATTCTTCATATATTTTGTAATAAAAAGGCATTTCAACATACAGTATGTACACATACATAATATATATATATATATATATATATATATATATATATATATATATATATATATAATTTTTTTTTAAAAAAAAAATATACATATTTGTTGAAATATATTGAATATGGCCAAAATTGTAGTAGTATTTCAAAAACATGGCAATATATTTCGGAAGAGTATTTTTAAAATGTGTCAATAAAATAAAATGCATTTCTATTAAGATAAATATATATACAAAAAAAAATATACAAAATAAAAAAAATACATTGTACAATTATTTTTTATATTTTTCTATCTTATACTACTACATGTATCTTATTATATTTTGTTGTTGTTTATTATATATATATATATATATAAAAATATATAAAAATTTAAAATATATTGAATATGGCCAAAATTGTAGTATATGGTAATATATTTGGGAAAAATATTTTTTTCAAATATATTTTTCAAATATATTTTTCTTCCATATGGGTTACAATAGTGATTTGAGCGTTTTGCCTTTTTCATTTAAACATGCGCTAGACGGTGAGCAGCATGCCAAGCCAAATAATTGCATTCGGGTCTGGCGCGGCGCGTCAAAAAAAAAAAAACGGTGACTGGCACCGCGAAAAGGTCGCCGTCAATAATCTAGCCAAAGCTAAACCTCTTTAGGGAGGTCCATGTTTACAACCCCCCCGGAAGACACTACCGTGTTACTTGAAAAATAATCGCTTCATCAAAAGGGAGCTCAGTGCCTAAAGCCACCGCGGGCGCGAACCTGTTGTGGCGCGCGATAAATTTTTTTTTTTTCTGAATCGCATATCTCAATGCAAAATAATAAAACTGAGATAATTGCACTCTACCAAAAAAAAAAAAAAATTGGTACAAATGATTTTTTTGGGGATAAAGTTGTTGTGATATTGGGGAGGGGCAAAAGTCACATGACCTAACTTGCTCCGTATGTATATTGCTAACACTCGGTTGTCAAAGCCAAAGCCTGAACTTCCTGTTCAAGGGGGGGGGGGGGCGCCACTGCCTTTGGATTCATTGGCTCGTATGATTAATCGGAGGGTCGCGTTTTGTAGCCCTCGCCGCCATGTTGCTTGCACTTAAATGCTGGCCAGTAAGATATATTACCGCTTGAAATTTATAACCGTCGCCTAGATAAATCTTTTCCTCCATGTATATATCCATCTCTATATATATATCGTATCTTCTACAGCTCAGAGCAAAGGTTCTGCAATTTTTTTTTTTTAAAAATTGCAACTTTTTTTCACATATTGGAATAATTTTGAAAAAAAAATGAAAATATTCATAAAATTTCCAGGCTTAAGGGAGTAAAAAAAAAAAAAAAAAAGTGTGTGTATGTGTGTATATATATATGTGTAAAAATTAGACTAGGCTTGAGAAAAATCAAGTTTTTTTTTTTTTAATTTCCCTAAAAAAAAAAAAAAATATATATATATATATATATATATATATATATATATAAAAAAGAAATTTAAAAAACTTGATTTTTCTCATACCTAGTCCCATTTTTACATATATATATATACATACATTTGTGTGTGAGTGTAAAATTCGGACTAGGTATTAGAAATATCAAGTTTTTTTTTTCCTTAATATATATATATATATATATATATATATATATATATATATATATATTTTTTTTTTTTTTTTTTTTTTTTTTTTTTAGGGAAATTTAAAAAAAAAAAAAACTTGATTTTTCATGCCTAGTCTCATTTTTGTGTATATATATATATATATAATGTGTGTGAGTGTAAAATTGGGACTAGGATTGAGAATAATCAAGTTTTTTTTTTTTTAATTTCCCTATAATTTCATAGAAAATTGGAAGAGTTTGGTGAAATTTTGGAAGGCGGTAATAAGGTGGTTTTGGGGGTTTGGAGATAAACAGAAAATAGTAATAAAATGTCTGTTTTAAAGGGATGCAAAAAGAAAAATTTTAAAAATTGGCCTAGGCATGAGCAAGAAGGAAAGGTTCAATTTCTCTAAAATTTAAGAAATAATTGGAAGATTTTGGTGAAATTTGGCGATAATAAGGTGGTTTTGGGGGGGTTACAAGAACTCCTTTCACCTGTTCTGGTGCTTAAAAAAAAAATAGGAAAAACACAAATACCAAGAAAAAAAACTACAATAAATACACCTTACAAAAAAAGCCATCTAAATAAAAACAAAATCTGATTTCTTTTTGTTGTAAGTTTTATAGATACAATTCAGGAAATTACTTTTTTTTCTTGGAGATATTTTGGAGAGTAACAGAAAATAGTAATAAAATGTGTGTTTTTAAGGCGATGCAAAAAAAAAAAAAAACAATTTTTAGGGTGCAAAAATATTTGGATTGAATATTTGGAAGACCATATGTAGGCAAAATTCATATTTTTTTTTAATCCCTAAAATGCCCAAATATTCCCTTTCACATTGACTACAATGTGCCTCAAAAATGCAATGCTAAATTTTTGCAAAAATCATATTTTTGTTATGCACCCTCAACATTGCATTCTGCATTGATTCCACTACACCGCCAAAAAAAATGCACCATCTAAAGAAAAAAAAAGTCTTTTTTTTTTTTTTTTTTTTTTTTTTTTTTGCAATCCTTAAAAATGGCTAAATATTGCTCTCAAATACACCCAAACAAAATCCTTGAGCCGCATTTTTAAAAACCATCTTAACATAATTTTTTTTTTTTTTAAATATAATAAAATATATATTTAGTTGCATGCTTACAAATGCCTAAATATTACCTTCCGCAACTAAAATAAATCATCTAAATAAAA